GCGAAATGATAGGTTCCCAAAATAGAATAAGGCAAAAGAAAAATTTTTTTATTGAATATTTATTTATTATTAATATTATTATTTGAATATAACTTGCCTTACCTTGTAAGCTTACCACAACCTTACCTCAACCTTACAACTTAATAATAACCTTACCACAGCCTTTACTCATAAGCTTACCTCGACCTTACCGTGTAAGCTTACCTCGACCCTACCATGTAAGCTTACCTCGACCCTACCATGTAAGCTTACCTCGACCTTACCGTGTAAGCTTACCTCGACCCTACCATGTAAGCTTACCTCGACCCTACCATGTAAGCTTACTGTAAGGCGGACATTTTAGGTTTACTGTAAGTCTACTATGGGCTTACGATGTTACCTTACAAACCTTACATGTAAGCCTGCTGTAGGCCTGGTGTAAGATGTTGTGCTGTGTGGGCGTTCGGTCTCTCATCAGCCCCATTCGTTTTCACAAAAATTATGAAACCGGTTGTGAATAAATTAAGAAAACAGGGAATTAAACTAGTCGTCTATCTAGATGATTTTTTAATAATAGCTGATTCTAAACAAAAATGTCAGAAACACACAAACGAGGTCATCGAGGGGGAATTTACTCAGGTAGTCAAGTGTACACTCTTCCTGTAATACTTATGTAATAACGTGTAATAATGCGTTATTACGGTGCTTTAATAACGCAAAAAAATCTGTAATATCTCTGTAATAATGTGTAATACTCTGTAATAACGTGTAATAACTTAGTAATAAGGGTAATATAAGGTGTAATACCGGTAGTCAAGTGTACACGTTTTTAACTAGTAAATTCCCCCTCGGAGGTCATAAAGTTGTTATTGTTTTTAGGATTTATTATAAATGAGGAAAAAAGCGACTTAATCTCGAAGAAAACTTGCAAATTTTTAGGCATGATTTTAGACTCCGCGAACATGACAATAGAATTACCTCAAGATAAACGCGAGAAAATAAAAACAATGGTAAATTCGTTACTTGATAACAAAAAAATAACAATACAAAAGTTAGCTGAAATGATCGGGGTCTTAGTCGCGGCATGTCCAGGGGTCGCATATGGGTGGCTATTTTACAAGGAACTCGAAATATTAAAAACAAACGCATTAAAAATTTCTCAAAACAACCCAAACAAAATAACATTTTTGTCAAGGGGCGCGGAACAAGACCTAAAATGGTGGGACTCAAAAATCCTTACAACAAAAAATAAAATCCGATCCTCTAGTTTCGACCTTGAAATATACTCAGATGCATCCACAACCGGCTGGGGAGCTATCTGCAAGGGAAAAGAAGCTAGAGGGCTCTGGAATCCCCAAGAAAAAGAGAAACACATTAATTTCTTAGAAATAAAAGCGGCTTTCTTAGGATAAAAAAGCTTCGCCTCGTCAAAATTTAATGCACAAATTTTACTCCGAATTGACAATCTCACAGCACTAGCCTATATAAATAAAATGGGAAGTACTAAACATAAAAATCTAAATAAATTAACTAAAGAATTATGGGAATGGTGTAGACAAAAAGAAATCTGGGTTTTCGCGGAGTATATAGCGTCAAAAAGCAACCCGGCAGACGAAAGCTCGAGCATAACAAATTTAGACACCGAGTTGGAACTCGCCGACTACGCTTATCAAAAAATTCGAAAAAAATTCGGCAAACCCACAATAGATTTGTTCGCGACAAGAATAAATACAGAATGCATAAAATTTTGTTCGTGTGAACGAGATCCCGAAGCATTTGCCATAAATTCTTTTACAATATCGTGGAGAAACGATTTTTGGTACGCATTTCCTCCCTTCGCATTAATTAGCAGAATTCTGAAAAAAGTTAGAGAAGAAGGCTCCGAAGGCATTCTTGTAGTCCCCTTATGGTACAGCCAACCCTGGTACCCAGAGTTCAAAAGAATGCTAACATCTGATTTCATAGAATTCAAACCATCCACTAATTTACTAACATCTCCTTGCAGGCAGCTGATTCATCCTCTGGCATCGGACCTTACCCTGGTGTCAGGAACTGTCTCCGGGCGGCCTACTCAAAAAAAGGACTAGCGGAAGACACAATCTTGATCATGGTACATTCTCTAGCCGAAAGCACAAACAAACAATACAACACAGCCCTGAAATACTGGTGGGTTTTTTGCACAAAAACAAACACAGATCCTTTTGAAGCTAACGAGAATACTGTCCTCAGGTGCCTAACAGCAAAGTTTGCAGAAGTAGCAGCATACGGAACATTGAACTCGCTAAGATCAGCAATTTCTCTCGTGAACAGCTATGACACTTCAGCGAGTTCTCTGCTTCACAGATTTTTCAAGGGAGTCAAATGGAATTGAAATCAGAGTCACGGAGTTAATTAAAACCTCCAGACCGGGAACTGACCAACCCTACGCTCTCTTTCCTTTTTTTGACAACGAAAATTTATGCATAGCTAAAGTAATACTCCATTACTTAAAAATTACAGAAAAACTAAGAGGTTCTGTTGAACAGTTACTAATTTCCTTTAAAAAACCACACAAAAGAATCTCTTCACAAACAGTTAGCAGGTGGTTAAAATCAGTAATGTTAGAATCAGGCATTGACAGTAAATACAATTCCCATAGTACAAGACATGCCTCCTCCTCCAAAAGTTTTTACAATGGAATTGACGTTAATATAATTAAAAAAGCAGCGGGTTAGTCAGAAAAATCCAAAACTTTCGCAAAATTCTATAAAAGGCCAATTGAAGCCAAAAATTTCGCCAAATCAGTGTTTTCATGTGTTTCATAAAAATAAGTATTATTTCGCAAGACTGATTAAAATTAAGTCTTTATTTGATAAAGTTTAAAAAAAAAAAATTTATATATATATATATGTAACAAGTAAATGAAATATAATTAATGATTAAATGAACTTACAAAGTGAAGTTCGATCATAATTATATGAATAACTTGTTCGAAGATATAATTCCCCCCCCCCCCCAAAATAAATAAAAAACAAATAAATAAATTTAAAAAAATTTTTTTTTTTTAAATTTCCCTCCCTTAGAGAATCAACACTCTGAAATAAATGAAAAACGAGAGGGAAGCAAGCCTACAGGGCTAAAAAGAGAAGGAACCTTTTCCCTCTTTTACATCTCTGAACTGTGGCGCCATCCGGCACTAAGTAGTGATACTACAAGTTATATATCTTCGAACAAGTTATTCATATAATTATGATCGAACTTCACTTTGTAAGTTCGTTTAATAATTAATTATTCAAGTTTCAATTTAACCAATCACAGTAATTAGAGCATGCATATATTTTTCATGACTGTGGTCACGAAGTAGTATAAGGAGCCCCCACTGCATAGGCAATTTCAGGAAAAACATGTTCCGAGTTTTCCGACTGCCTTTCAATTTGGTAGGATAGCGATACTAGCGCGATTACCGGGGAAATTGTTGCAACTCAACTGGATAATGGCGGAAATGTATGTTTCGTGATGATTCGTATCTGCTCGTGAAGAGTCGAGTGCAGACGACAAATCTCTCACAAACATACATTTCCGCCATTATCCAGTTGAGTTGCAACAATTTCCCCGGTAATCGCGCTAGTATCGCTAACCTACCAAATTGAAAGGCTGTCGGAAAACTCGGTACATATTTATTTTGCATAGTGGGGACTCCTTATACTACTTCGTGACTGTGGTCTATCCAGTCAACCTAACCTCTAAATCAACGCTTTTAGCACTGTAATAATTAGTGCACACGATGCGCATTAATTCATGCAAACCTGCAGTAATACCAGCATATGCAATTTTTAAAAAAGTTAATGTTGTTAATAATATATTTGTTTTTTTTCAAGTTTAAAGTATCGTTTCTATTGCAATAGATACTAAATAGTGATTTAACAAAAAGAATTAAATCATTATTTCATTTACACTTCTATTATTTTATCATTAAAGCCGGTCTTGGGTTGTACATCACAGTAATTGGGACATTTACCCTATAATAATAGTTATTTTTTATAAAAGCGCAGTAATTGATGCACTTACCCTATGTTAAACTTGAACATTTTCTTAGATCATGAATTATATTATTATGGCTTAAATTTTCTTTTTTTTTGTATGAAGTTAATAATCAAAAGTATAGGAAGTTTGAGATCTTATTTTATATAACCTAAAATTTTTTACTTTTTATAAACATCATTATTCGAAGGGTATATTTGATATTGAGACTTATCAAAAGTATAAATTTCTTGATTCTGTACTGAAAAGTAATATTTTTGAGCAGAAATATTTTTCTTTGAAATAATATTTGCATATTTGAAATTTTTCGGAGCTTGTAACTTTTTTGGGATCTTCTTAAAAGAGGTTTTAATATTGATATAATTTATAGTTCCTATTAAAACTTGACGTTCACTGTAAAAAAAATGTTTGTCTTATTTTACGGATTGAACTTGTATTTTTTACCAAAATCTGTAACTGAACTTATTTCAAAGTAGTAAATATACTAACTGATTTAAACTTTATACTTTTAAAATAGCACATTCGTAATTTTCTGTAAATTTTCTACTTTCAGAGTAGTACCAAATATTCCTACTTTCAATGTGACATAATTACTACCGTATTTGTAATTTTACAGTTTTTTGTAAAAATGCTAACATAACCTAGTCAATTTGCCATATTTAATTAAGTAAAATCACTGCATTAAAAGAAGGTAATATTAGGTACTACTCTGAAAGTAGCAAATTTACAGGAAATTTTTTTTACAGTGTAGGTATTTTGCAATTTTTTAAAAATAAATTTTTTTTATAAAATATTAATTTTATGGTAAATAACGGCGATTTCTTACAGTATTTTTAAGTTCTCTACAAAATTCTAGCTCAATCTATCAAAATATTTTTCGAGAAAACTTGCAGAGAATATTTATATGTGAGAAATCACAACAATCACATAACCTTAAGTACAAGTCATTTTGTCAGAATTGGAAAATCGAGTTTGATGAAATTGAGGAGAAACCTCTGAAATGTATCACCTTTATTTTCAATTCACTTTAAGGTCTAAGCACAATAAATCATCAGAGGTGTCACATTTTGGAGATTCCATTATATTTTATCAACCACATTTTTCCAATTCTATCAAACAATAGTCCGTCAGCAGCAATAACAAATGAAATAGATAACAGTTACCAACGATTAAATATAAACTGATACAGTCAATATCTAAGAATAGTTTTATATCCGAAATAAAAAATTAAAATTTCAAAAAAATTGGAACATTAAAAGATTTCAGAACAATAGGTTTGTTTACTATGTTATATCTTTACAAAAAAAAGTAATGGAAAAAGGATCTTTTTTGAAATTTATTAACAACCATGCCGTATTTTTAATAGTAAAATTTTTATTGCAATACATACACTGCAAAAAAACCTTTATGGGAATTATCAATAATTTATAATTTGTATATCAAAAACTAGGTTATATTATGGTTAGGATGATGTTTCAATTAGTTTGAAAGTGATAAAAAATACCAAAAATAGAAATATTACTTAAAATGTGAACATAATCTTTTTCAATATGTCAATTTTACAGATTTTGATATTTTTTTTAGGTTAATTTTGCAGGACTAAAACAAATTTTTTAAAAATGTGTTTTAAAAATTTAAACAGCACAAACATAATAATTATTGAACAATGCTTTATATATAGTAAGAATGTATGTATTATAAATATTTGTTCAAATTATTTTTCGTTTGTTTGAACTTCAAAACATATTTTCGAAAAAATTGTCCTCTTGTAAAATTAACCTAAATAATTTTACTAGGTTTTACAAGATTTATTATTAATAAAAATTTTCTATTATTTTAAAGTTATATTTTTAAATCACAGTTATATTAAATTTTTAAAAAAATTGTCGATTGCAATGTAAAAAAATGTAATTTTAGATACTTAATAAATTTACAGAATTAAATTTACCTTTTGCCTATAGAATTAGGCACATTTTATTTCTTTGAAAACTAACAATTATACAAATTATTCAGAGATTTTTTTTATTATAATTATAATTCTCAAGGATATTTTTGACGAAAAAAATACTTGTTTGATTTAAGCAAATTTTCTTTTAACTAAATAATATTTTGTTGAAAATAATAATAAAAAAACAAAGGTGTTTAATTTCTTTAAAATTGTTCAAATAAATTTAAATTATTAAATACATTAATAAATTGGATAACTTTAAGTCTTAATTAATAATAATAATAATAAAAATAAACTAGGTTATTATTTTCTTATTTTCAATATTTTTGCTTCCTCATAGAACAAAAATTATTTTAAAAATAATTTTTTTTAAATAATTTTTTTAATATTAAAAACTTTATTTCGTCATAAATCATTTAATTCGTTTTTAATTATTTAATTTAGCAAAAAAAGAAAATAGAAAAAGGCGTTCCTTTTTTCTTTGCAATTTTACACAATGAGATATACACAGGTCAAAGGAAAACTATTTTGAATTTCACAACAATAAAAAATGTTATTAAAAGTACTGTTTACATTTACCGTGGATGTCCCAGTTACCGTCCACCTAAGACCTAGTTTCCGTCCAGTTTAATTTTCAAAATAACATTTATAAAAAAATTATTTTCTTTTTTTTGTTTACTTAAACTAATAAGTCGATTGTGTGCCAAAAGGAATAAATTATTGTTAAAAAATAATTTAAATTACTATACGAGATATTTGTAAAATGGACGGAAACTGGGACATGGACAGTAACTGGTACATCCACGGTACCCCAAATTAAAAAAAAAAGTATTATAAAATTTATTAAATTTACAGAAGGTAAAATCCCAAGTCAATTTTTGTTCAGAAACAATTATAAATAATAAAAACATTTTTTGGGATTATTTAACTCAAATACAAGACGAAATACTAAAAGGGTTTTTCTTTGATCCTACAGAATTTTAAGTGTTGCAAAAAGTTTTATATTTTTGTTTCTAATAAAAATAAAATAATAAACAATTACTTTTTTAAAAGCTTATATCCTCTACTTTTAGGATATCTAAAAAGTGAATAAAAAAAATTTTGTTATTGCTTTAGTGTTCTTATTAATAAACAAAATTTTCCATTTTTGTTTGTGTCAATTTTAAACGAATATATTTTTTTAACAAATCATCACATTTTAATTGCACACATAGCATTTGAAAGGTAATTTTATCACCTTTAAAACGTTTTTTTAAAAATTGTGATACGATAATTTTTAACCCTTGCGTGCCTGAGTTGGGTTTCATGGACCCAGACAATTTGCTTTTTCATCTATACTTCTATTTAAGAATTTTTTTTTTCAAAATCATTATCAAATTCGATAAGCTGATGCTATAACGTACATTTAAAAAAAGAAGGAGAATTTTTTTATGTATAACTCTTTCTAATACATTATTTTACAGCTCTTATGTATACGTAGTTGCCTGAGCCGTGTCCCTCGGACCCAGACAACTTTTTTTTCATGTACTTCAACATATTCGCTTGAAAATCGTTACTCGGGGGTTTTCGGGCTCATTGATTGCGAATTTAAAGTCAGTTTTTCAAAATTCAAAATGGCCGATCCAATATGGCGGATTTTTTTTTTTTTTTAAATCGTTCGGTATCGCTTGAAAATCGTTACTCAGGGGTTTTTGGGGTCGCTGATTACAAATCTGATGTTACTTTTTCAAAATTCAAAATGACGGACCTAAAATGGTGTATATATTTTTTTAAATTTGACGGTTTTGCTTGAAACTCGTTATTCAGTGGTTTTCAAGATCGCTGATTACGAATCTGATATTAGTAAATTGTATTGATTTTTAATTTTCCTGTCCGCCATATTGGATCCAACATTAAATATGTTTAATTTTTAAAAATTTGTCCGACATATTAGATCCGCCATTTTGAATTTTTCAAATCTGACGTCTGATTTGTAATCAGCAACCCAAAAAACTTGAGAATACCCAGTAATACTTAAATTAAATTAATTACTTTTTTTTGTAATGCGTACACTCAAATTTGCTCTGTCGAAAAAGCGCGTGTCAGACGCGCGACTTTTTGTGAGCTATTTATGTATCCTAGAGTGTCAAAAAATTAAATATTTTTGCAATTATATTTACAAAGTATTACAATTATAATTTAGAATTAAAATATTGAATATTCTGCTATTAAATCTTGTTTCTTATGGAATTTAAGCAGCTGCAGGCACGCACGTCAAAAAATGAACTCATGCACGTGAGGGTTAACAAAAATGTGGTCAATTGTTTAAAAAAACAGCCCTTTTTTTAATTAATCGAGGATGGTTAGTCGAGAATGGTTGTAATAATAAAATTATAATAAACAGTTTTCTAATACTTTTTAATACAAACCTTTTTGTCGGGTATCAACGAATTATTTTAAGATCGTTAACGGTGTTCCGTAATGGCAAGCAGTGGTTGTCTTTTAAAAATGAGGTACATTTAATTTCAAAAATATTATTCTCCCAATTTGGACAGAAATGGCAAAATCGGATAAAATACCAGTTATCCTGAGTTTGTGTACTTTTATTTCCCTCCAAGAAATTAAAAATTTATTCACATATAAAACGACAGGAAGTAAAATAGAAATCAAGTATAAACATTTGCGTAGTACTGAAAATTACCGTCTGGGGCAGCATCTAACGGCTACAAAAAAATTTCTTATTTTACTTCCTGACGTCGTTTATCTTAATGAATTTTTAATTTCTTATGCGTAAATAAAAATACAATATTTCAGGATAACTGGTATTTTATCGATTTTTCCGTTTCTATCCAAGTTAAGAGTAAAATCCTTTTTAAATTAAATGCACTTACGAGGAGACAATTTTTGAAAGACAACCACTGCTTGCCATTGCGAAACACCATTAAGCACTTAAACTATATGTTACATTTTTTTTTTTTTTATAGGTTTTTCAATTTCAATAAATACTTATTATGAACTGCACAAAGAATATCTAAGAAAAAATGTCGATTGAAGAAATTAATCTTTTAAAAACCATATGTCTTTCCGGCAATGAGTACATAGTGAAAGATATGCTTTATGGAATTAACTATTCTAACTTCCTTCAATCATCTGAAGCCTATTTATTGCTCTGTAATGTGCTTATAAAGACTGTTTCTTCATCAGTGAAAATTGCCAATAATAAAATAAGCAACTCATCTTCGTACCTGATGATTTCTAAAATACTTTTACAATATGGAATAAGAGTGAATGACGACAATTGTCCAAAAGATATTCCCACGCCACTTCATATTGCAGTTCGAACAGGTAATGAAGAACTTGTAAAAATGTTGCTGTGGAATGGAGCTGATGTTAATAAAAAACATTGTACACTTATTACACCCCTAATATTTACATTTGAAAATAATTTAACAAACATCGCTGAGATATTAATAGAGAATGGTGCTAATCCCGGCAATTGTGATGTTAGTGAAAAGTACACTTATTCGGCACTTCATCTTGCAGTTGTACTGGAAAATATAGAAATGGTGAAATTTCTATTAGAAAAAGCTGTTTATAATGTTAGAAATGATTGCTGGGACAAAATTTTACAACATAGATTTTTAAACGAATATAATAGTATCTCTCAGCTTTTCCTCGAAAGTCCTGATAATCTTGATTATTCTGGCACTTTTGAGTTTGAACATCCAAAAATTTCTAAAGAACAAACAGTATCTCCACTTGACATTGCAGTTTTACAAGAAAATAAGGAAATAGTGGAAATATTGTTATCAAAAGGAGTATCAGTTAATACAAGAAACAATAACGGATATACTCCATTGCACTTTGCCGTTATGAAAAATTCAATTATTATCGCTTTAATTTTGCTGCAAAATGGTGCTAATTGTGATATTCTTAGTAATTGTGGCCATAAAGCTTTTTACTATTCCCAAGATCCATGTATGAGAAGCCTTTATAGTATGCACAAAATCGAAATCTATCTCAATAATGGAGGGAATACTGAAGATAAGGATGATAATTTTTATACCCTATTGCATTATGCAGTAAAGTATAATTTGTACAATGTTGTTCTTCTTTTATTGGATAAAGAATCGAACGTGAATGCAGTAACAAAATTAGGTGAAACACCACTTCATCTTGCTGCTATTGAGCGCAATGGAGAAATTGCACAACTTTTATTACAGAGAGGGGCCAATATTAATGCTATCACAAATTCAGGATGTACACCCTTGCATTTGGCAGCCAACTCTAATAATTTATCCTATGACGAATCAGGATTTTTCTTAGTTTTTCTACTTCAAAATGGCGCTAACATTGCAGCTACAAACAATTTTGGTTTGACTCCTTTAAATTATGCTATCAAAAGACAACATCTTTTGGATGTGGAGGTTCTTTTAGGTGCAAATCCAAATGTCTATGATAAAAGTATTAAAATGGCATTTTGCTTATCATTTTTCGATCACTATCATAGAAATAATTGTTTTGGAGTGACGTATTGTTTAAAACGATGTGTAAGTGAAGTATTTATTGACTTTGGTTTGACGATTTTTATTGAAGACTTGAAGGATATGTTTATACCAGAAGAATTGTATTCTTCTTGGCTAAAACAGTCATCAGACAAAAAATTTAGATCGTTTGTGCAAGACCTTCTTCAGAAGCAAAATACTTTTAATACTGAAGAAATAGTAAGATCTTTTATTCAATTTCAAGTACTAGTAGGTGCTATCAAACATGGATATTGCGATATTTTTTTAAATTTATTAACACCTAATGTAAACGTAAATTGTCGATTGCAAGATGGATGTACATTACTTCATCATGCATGTAGATTTGAAAATGTATGTGTTGTCAAAGAACTTGTGCGACGTGGTGCTGATATAAATGCAATAGATGTTGCAAAATTGTCTCCCCTTCATATTTCAATTTTCGAATTTTCTTATGGAGTCACTGAATTTTTAATAAAAAAATTAGCCTATATTGAAGTTCGAGATGAAAACAATGAAACTCCACTTTTTTCCGCAGTTATAGAGAATAATTTGACAAGCATTCGTTTACTTTTAGAAGCCGGCGCTAATGTGAATGTTGTTAATAATTCTTATGAATCACCTATTTGTAAAGCTATGGGCTATGGTGATATAAATATTATTAAAATTCTTTTACACTATGGTGCTTTTGTTAATGCAAGTGACACATTTATAATAAGATCAATATTTGAAGCATTGGAAGAATTTGATGATGATAATGATGATTTTATCTTTGACGCTGTTGATCTTGTATTTAGTTATGGTGCAGAGGTTATTGATTTAGTTCCAAAAACTTTTATTGTTGATGAAAGTCACTGTGCAAGATTTCAAATAAAATCTGCTGCGGCAAATTTAGAGATTATTGATTTTCCCATCGATTCAATTGAATTAGTTGATTTTCAATCTCAATGTCTTGAAGAAATACAAAGGATGAGATGGTTAAAAATTATTGGATTTAATATATCGATTTATGATTTTCTAATAAAACCACCCAGAACAATTGGTATGTATATGCGAAATAAGATTGTTGTTGAATGTTTAGATGTAATAGATTTCGAAGAAAAATTCCCTTTATATGCCAGTAAATTGGATGTTTGTGTGATGAGAGGTAAACTTGAGTGCCGGTTATTGGAATTAGCTTATCACTGTCTGGAAGTTTTAAAAGTGAAATTACCTAATGTTGTAATCTCTCAAATTATTTCTTACTTGGACACTTCAGACTTACATCGTTTAATTATCGCTTCGCCCATTTCTAGCAAAATGAAAGAATCAGTTCAATATCAAGAGGAGCTATGAGCCAAAAGTTTTGAATGTTCAAATGGACGAAATATTTTTTTCAATATATAAATTATTAAAAATTATGATGACAATGTAAAATAAAATAGTAAATTAAACAATTATTAAATTAAATAACTTCTTTTTAGATATTTTAAACAATATTTTCTAATAAAATTTGTACTTAAAAAGTTGCAAAAAAATTTCGTTCATTTGAACGAAACATTTAGCTCATGAGGATCTTATGTTATTTTTTTAATGACGTTTTAGTCATTTACTTATGAACTTAAAAGATATATAAATATGTATATAAATGTTTCTATTTTCATATAACATAATTTTGTAATATTTAATTTTAAAATATAAAGTGTGTATATATAATTTTTTTAAATAAAAATTTACAAATTTCTGTAATAAATAAATAAATTGTCAGAAAATATATTGATACCGCGAAACAACATACATTTCGTTGGATTGAAATTTCACTGTTCCTCTCCCATAAAATTTCTTATGCAAAAAGTGAGTTACTGATTTAATTATAGTAATATTAAGTAATTATAGTCTTTTACCCCCACTTTTCTCAAAATCCTAACGTTATGGGATGTTTTCGTTGCCAGATTCGGATTCAGCGCACCAAAAACTACAAGAAATGACTCCTCGATCTCTAACAACCGAAATTTTTTTTTTTTGCAGCCTTGTGTTACTAGCTAAATCTATTTTTAGATTACTTTAATGCAATTAAAATTTAAGTAAATATTCTTCTAACTAATAAATAAATAATTAAGTAATAATAAAATAAATAAAAACTAAGCATTAATACAAAAAAAGTATCATGTGACCCGAATACCCTACCCCCATGTATTTTGGTGCGTTGAACACGAATCTGAGGTCATATTTGCTCCATCATGTCAGGATTTTTTTTATATTTTATATCTTTTTTTATATTTATTTTTATTATATTTTTTATTTTTTTATATCATAAAATATGTCAGATTTTATGTAACATACAAATTTTTTAAAAATTGGTTGGATTTATTTAAAACTCGTCATTTGGAAGTTTTTGGGCTTGCATGCCCATTTTTTAATACAGATTGTATAAATAATTAATTTTTTTTTGCACAAATAAAAAGAGTGCTTATTGAAAGGACATATTAACATTATTCATAATATAACGTTATATATAATGTGAGTCGCCGGAAAGTAAAACAACACATAAAATTCTGACTCCCATTGAATTAACATGGCCGTCAGAATTTTATGTGTGGTTTTACTTTCCGGCGACTCATGTATTCCACGCCAAAGTGTAATTTTAATGATAAAAAGTCATTTTTCTCATTTGACGTACTGATCAATTTTTGCTTCCTCGTGGAGGAAGCTATGTAGTCCTTTCGTTTATAAACTTTTTAAAAATGGTGAAAACAAATTTTCCTCTATATAGAAACATGTTATATGAGATCCTGATCAATTGTCCGGATGTATGTATGTGTGTGTGTATGTGTGTGTGTGTGTGTGTGTGTGTGTGTGGATCGTTTTTGTGAACACGATATCTTTAACAGGTTTTAATGGATTTGGACAAAATTTGGTAGGCTTATTTAACACATTAATCTCTCAAAAATGACGAGAGGATTTTTAAAAATACCCCAAAAAAAAAATTTTATCGTCTTTTTTCCAAAAATTTTTTTTTAATTGAAAAAATTTTTAAATCGAAAAATTTAAGGTAATATATAATATAATCGTCTTCTTTATGTCAAGATGAATCGATTGATATATATAAAGTATAGATTTGATTGAAATTTAAAGAATTAAAGAAAGTTAAAAAATCAAAAATTCTCATTTTAGCTAAAAAATGATGTGTTTATTTAAATTCATGTTTCTATATGAAATAATTTTATTCCCTGCATTGAAACGAATTGGTTGGTATATATAAAGTATAGATTTGATTTAAAATTTGAGAATTAATAAAAATTGAGAAATTGAAAATTCATATTTTAGCTAAAAAATTTTGTGTTTTTTTTAAATACAAGTTGATGAATAAAATAATTGTATTCCTTGCATTAAAACGAATCGATTCGTATATATAAAGTTTATGTTACACTCAAAATTAATTAAAATTTTCTTTATTTTTAAAAAAATTTAATTAATTTAAAACATTTTTAACTCGAAATTTTTTAAATCAATCAATTGAATTGGACAAATTCATTGCTTCCTTCACGAGGAAGCAAATTTTTTGCTTCACACAATGAGGAAGCATAATGTTTATGAAATAAACATAAAGGACCCCCTCCTTGTTTTAAAAATTTTTTCAAAAAAACTACATCTTTTTACGAAACTTTTAAGCCTAGCTCAATAATGGGCAAACAATTTTTACAATATTTTCGGAATTTTTTAAAAATATTTTTAGTTTTTTTTTATACTACGTACTTTTATGTACATATTTTGATGCGCTGGTTACGAAAATCATAGTGATAATACCCAAAAATTTTATTTTTATGGTGAAAACCATAAAAAGTCCCAAAATTTATGGTTTTTTTTACGTTTATTAGGTAAAATATGCAAAATTAAAAAAAAATCCATCAGATATAAAAAATGTATTTTAATAAGATCTATAATTGATGCATTTTGCTTCCTCGTGGAGGAAGCTATGTAGTCCTTTCGTTTATAAACTTTTTAAAAATGGTGAAAACAAATTTTCCTCTATATAGAAACATGTTATATGAGATCCTGATCAATTGTCCGGATGTATGTATGTGTGTGTGTGTGTGTGTGTATGTGTGTGTGGATCGTTTTTGTGAACACGATATCTTTAACAGGTTTTAATGGATTTGGATAAAATTTGGTAGGCTTATTTAACACATTAATCTCTCAAAAATGACGAGAGGATTTTTAAAAATACCCCAAAAAAAAAATTTTATCGTCTTTTTTCCAAAAATTTTTTTTTAATTGAAAAATTTTTTAAATCGAAAAATTTAAGGTAATATATAATATAATCGTCTTCTTTATGTCAAGATGAATCGATTCATATATATAAAGTATAGATTTGATTGAAATTTAAAGAATTAAAGAAAGTTAAAAAATCAAAAATTCTCATTTTAGCTAAAAAATGATGTGTTTATTTAAATTCATGTTTATATATGAAATAATTTTATTCCCTGCATTGAAACGAATTGGTTGGTATATATAAAGTATAGATTTGATTTAAAATTTGAGAATTAATAAAAATTGAAAAATCGAAAATTCATATTTTAGCTAAAAAATTTTGTGTTTTGCTTCCTCGTGGAGGAAGCTATGTAGTCCTTTCGTTTATAAACTTTTTAAAAATGGTGAAAACAAATTTTCCTCTATATAGAAACATGTTATATGAGATCCTGATCAATTGTCCGGATGTATGTATGTGTGTGTGTATGTGTGTGTGTGTGTGTGTGTGTATGTGTGTGTGGATCGTTTTTGTGAACACGATATCTTTAACAGGTTTTAATGGATTTGGATAAAATTTGGTAGGCTTATTTAACACATTAATTTCTCAAAAATGACGAGAGGATTTTTAAAAATACCCCAAAAAAAAAATTTTATCGTCTTTTTTCCAAAAATTTTTTTTTAATTGAAAAAATTTTTAAATCGAAAAATTTAAGGTAATATATAATATAATCGTCTTCTTTATGTCAAGATGAATCGATTGATATATATAAAGTATAGATTTGATTGAAATTTAAAGAATTAAAGAAAGTTAAAAAATCAAAAATTCTCATTTTAGCTATAAAATGATGTGTTTATTTAAATTCATGTTTATATATGAAATAATTTTATTCCCTGCATTGAAACGAATTGGTTGGTATATATAAAGTATAGATTTGATTTAAAATTTGAGAATTAATAAAAATTGAAAAATCGAAAATTCATATTTTAGCTAAAAAATTTTGTGTTTTTTTTAAATACAAGTTGATGAATAAAATAATTGTATTCCTTGCATTAAAACGAATCGATTCGTATATATAAAGTTTATGTTACACTCAAAATTAATTAAAATTTTCTTTATTTTTCAAAAAATTTAATTAATTTAAAACATTTTTAACTCGAAATTTTTTAAATCAATCAATTGAATTGGACAAATTCATTGCTTCCTTCACGAGGAAGCGAATTTTTTGCTTCACACAATGAGGAAGCATAATGTTTATGAAATAAACATAAAGGACCCCCTCCTTGTTTTTTAAATTCAAGTTGATGAATAAAATAATTGTATTCCTTGCATTAAAACGAATCGATTCGTATATATAAAGTTTATGTTCACTCAAAATTAATTAAAATTTTCTTTATTTTTCAAAAAATTTAATTAATTTAAAACATTTTTAACTCGAAATTTTTTAAATCAATCAATTGAATTGGACAAATTCATTGCTTCCTTCACGAGGAAGCGAATTTTTTGCTTCACACAATGAGGAAGCATAATGTTTATGAAATAAACATAAAGGACCCCCTCCTTGTTTAAGGAAGTTATGAGCATTCAAAAATTAAAAGTCATGAAAATTCTCCAATTTTCAAAAATCCATAACTCGAAAACGGCTTGCTAAAAAAATTTGAAAAAATTCATTGAAGCTAGTCTCAATTAGTACTATAAGAAAAAACAATCTCAAAAAAATCGGAGATGCAATTGCAGATGGACTTACACTTTGGCGTGGAATACTTCATATACAAGTAATTTTGATAAACAGATTTCTTTGAATTTCTCGTTTCAACTCAAACTGCGCATATCGTAGTTTTTCCATTGTATGGCAGAATTAATTATCTACATTAAATAATTTGTTATAATACGTATTAAATAGCGTTAACTAAAATTTTTAAATTTAAAAAAAAAATTAAAATTTATAAAATAAAGAAAACAAACAATAACATTTTTTGTATTATTTATTGAAAATATATACTTTTATCTTATTTACTATTTTAAATAAAATGTAACTATATTAATGAACAACATAGAATACAAATAATTTATAAATCACTCAAATATTCAAACAATACAAACTTATTATCATTCAGACATTCATATTTGAAATACACTGCTTCAAAAAAAAAGATATATAATATAATGAATTGTTTTTTATTAGTTTTCGAAATTTTACTCCTTTATTGTAATACAAAGTCCAAAGAAAAAAAATTTCGAAACAATAGAGAATTAAGAATATTTTTTTTATAAATTATAAATGTTATCTTTAGTGAATTCGGTTATATAAAAATAAAAAAATATTTTTAAACTTCTATAAAAATTTTCATAAACATTTTTAAATGATGTCTTCAATGATTTCTTATACCATCAAAGTTTATAAGTGAATAAAGGAAGTATAGCATTACTCAAAAAACGCAATATTTTCTTTATATTGAACTGACATTTTCTTTTCGATAGAAATAGGCGAAGCAATAATTAAACGATGCAAGTCAGAAGTGTCAAAGTACGAAACAATTTCAAAGACGACAACATCAGGTAACTTCACTTTTAGAACTTCAAGACAATGATAAGCTAATTCCAATAATCGACACTCAAGTTTACCTCTCATCACACAAACTTTCAATTTACCGGCATATAAAGGGAATTTTTCTTCGAAATTTATTGCATCTAACAAATCAACAACAGTCTTATTTCGCATGTACATACCAATTGCTCTATGTGGTTTTATTAACAAATCATAAATCGATATATTAAATCCAGTAATTTTTAATGATTTCATCCTTTGAATTTCTTCAAGACACTGAGATTGAAAATCAGCAATTTCAGTAGAATTCACGGAAATATGAAAATTCTCTAAATTCGCAGCAATAGATTTTACTTGATACCTTGCACAGTGACTTTGATCAACAATAAAAATTTCGGGAGTTAAATCCACAACTTTTGCACCGTAATTAAATACAAGATCAACTATTTCAAGGACACGTTTATCACAATCATCATCAAACTCATCCAATGCATTAAATACCGATCCTATTTTAAAGGTGTTACATGCATTAACAAAAGCACCGTAGTGTAAAAGAATTTTTGCAACATTTACATCACCATAACGCATAGCCTTATAAAGAGGGTATTCATTATAATCATTAATAGAATTTACATTAGCGCCGGCTTCTAAAAGTAAGCGAATGCTTTTCATATTATCCTCTTCAATTGCCAAAAATAGTGGTGTTTCACCAAACTTATCTCGAGCTTCAATATCAGCTGATTTCATTAAAAACCTGGTAACATCTACAGAGAATTCTTTAATTGAAATATAAAGTGGAGACATTTGATTTTCATCCATTGCATTTATATCAGCACCAAGTCGCAAAAGTTGTTTAACATTAGTTAAATTTTCAGCTTTACAAGCAAAATGAAGTAATGTATATCCATCTTGCAATTGACAATTTACGCTTATGTTAGGTGTTAATAAATTATGAACAATATCGCTGAATCCATGTCTGACAGCACCCAGTAGTACTTCAAACTCAATGAAAGATTTCTTTAATTCTTCAATATTAGAAGTTTTTGGCTTCTGAAGAAGCTTTTTCACAAACGATCTAAATTTTTTGTCAGTTGACTTTTTTAGCCAAGAAGAATACAATTCTTCAGGTATAAACATATCTTTAAAGTCTTCAATATAAACTGTGAAACCGAAATCAACAAATATTTCACTTACGCATCGTGAATTAACACCATATTTTCCAGAACAATTATCTATTCTATTATAGTGATTGAAAAATGATAGACAAAATGCCATTTTAAGGTCCTTATCGTTGACGTCAGGTTCTTCACCTAAAAGACTTTTCACATTTAACGTACAATGTCTTCTAACGGCATAATTTAAAGGCATCAAACCAAAGTTGTTTTTAACTGTAATATTAGCGCCGTTTTGAAGTAAAATTTTTAAAAAATCATCTTTTTGATCAAATGGAAAAGGGAGTTCATAGTCAGCTGCCAAGTGTAAAGGTGTGCAGCCTGTATTTGTAGTAGCATTAACATTTAATCCTTTTTCCAATAAAAGAAGTGTGATTTCTTTGTTGCGTTCTTTGGCAGCGAGGTGAAGTGGCGTTTCACCTAATTTTGATACTGCATTTATGTTTGATTCTTTATCCAGTAAAAAAAGAACAACATCTTTTAAATTATACTTTATTGCTTGATGCAATAGAGTATAACAATTGTCATCCTTATCTTCAATGTTTCCTCCATTATTGAGATAAATTTTTATTTTGTGAAGACTGTAAAGGCTGGCCATACATAGATCTTGGGAATAATAAAAAGGTTTACGATTAATGTCATTTTGAATGTCAATATCAGCGCCGTTGTCTAGCAGAAGTTGAGCGATATCAATAGAATTTTTCATAACGGCAAAGTGCAATGGCGTGTACCCCTCATTGTTTGCTATATTTACAGCTACTCCTTTTGATAACAATATTTCTACAATTTTCTTATTTTCTAGTAAGACTGCAATGTGAAGTGGCGTTACAGTTTGTTCTTCAGAAAAATCTGAATGTTCACTTTTTTTACAATTAATAGAATTTTTAGGATTATCAGGATTATCAGGACTTGCGAGGAAAAGTTGAGAGATACTTTTATGTTCTTTGAGATTAGAATTTTGCAACTCTGTGTCTCTGTCATGATTCCTTTCATTGACGGTAACATTTTGTAATAGAATTTCAATCATTTCTATATCTTCCGTTGTAACTGCAAAGTGAAGTGGAGTATCAGTTTCGCTTCCACAAACATCAAAATTGCCAGGATCAGCACCATTTTTTATCAACAACTGAGCAATATTTTTGAAATGTTTTAGAAAAATAAACATCGAAGGTGTTAAAATATCAGACTCTTCTTTATTAACATCAGCTCCTTTCAACAGTAACTTTTTTACTATTTTTTCAGTACCTCCTAAAACTGCAATGTAAAGTGGGGTAAAAGTATGTTCTAGACAATGGTGGATATTAACATTGACTCCATGTTGCACAAGAACTTCAGAAATCATGATGAACTTTATCGTCGTGCTTGTGTTTTCTTTATTAGAATTTACTGATGAACAAATACTAGTTACTAGCACATTACAGAGCAATAAATATGCTTCATAAGATTCAAAGTAGTTAGTAAAGTTAATTCTTGAAAGAATGTCTCTTACACTGTTCTCATCTCCGGAATGACAAGCAGTTTCTAAAAGTTTAATTTCTTCAGTTGACATTTTTCCATAGGTATTCGTTTTATACAACCCAAAAGTATTTATTGGAATTGAGAAACCTGTAAACAAAGAAATTAAACATATTGTACACGGCAAAGAATGAATTACCTACAGTTTGAATCAGTTCTTTTGTATTAATTATAGTAACGAGAAAAACATGTATTTAGAAATTATTTTGCTCATTACTATACGATAATTAAATAAGCAAATGTATGATTCAATTGTGTGAAAAAAAACAAACAATATTCTCAAAAAATAGTTAATATTTTTCAAAAATTTTAAACACTTGACACACTAAACAATTAATACCCTCCCGGTAAGAAGGCTGAAATGGAATGGAATTAAAATTATCAGATACTTTCTAAAGTTAAAAATTTTTCTGTTCCATTTAATCTGGAATATTCCCTCTTTTTTTTAATCCCCTAAAATGGGATAAATTATTGGAAAAATATATTCTTTTTTACATCAAAATGCAATCGTATTCCATTAGTGGAATACATTTCACAAAGTTTTAATTCCAAAAAGTTTTGTTAAATCATGTTTGAACTAGAAGACATTATAATCCTCAAACGAGAATAGAAACTGAAAAAATTTATTTCTAAACAATTTGCCTTTATGTTCCTCGGCAAGAAGGAGTGTATTAAAAGGTATTAATTATCATTGAAAAAAACAGACAATCGAATGCCTTTAAATGCTAATTAATTCCGTTTCTTTCCGAAATCTCAGTTAATGCCTTCGGTAGGTCATAAACATTTTATGTAAAATTTGAATTCTATTCAATGCCTCAATAAAAATTAAGGAGTTGAATGAAGTCAATGCCATCCAATGCTGTTCGTTTTTAATCCCTTTTAATACTTTTTCAAGGAGTGGGCGTCTAACAGGATGAATTCTTTTTAATCCCTTTCATAAATTTATTTATTTTAATATGCCTTCTACACAAAGAAAGTGCTATTCTACAGTTGATTAGAAATTAATTTGAATGACTATATTTTTGGTAAAGTAGTTAAAAAGATGAATGCCAAATAATATTTTTTAATAGATTAAATAATTTTAATTACATTTATCGGTTTCTAATTTTATAGATTATCCAAAAATCAATATCTTCTATAATTAAAAAAGTCATTCAGCAAATATAATTATTATTTAATAATAATTAATTTTAATTTAATGCCTTTTGATCCCTACTAATACTCTTGCAGGAATTCAAAAGTATTTGTAAGAAAACGGAATTAAAATAATTAAAATAATGTAACATATTTCTATTCCAAAAATAGAATTAAAATTTCTGCTTTTAAAAACATAAAAATAATAATTTATTTCATTTTAAACGGCTTCTCACAAGTGGTAAAACTTTCTGCTACTTAGTATATAAGAACAGTTCAAATCATTCATTTTAATGTAAATGCGAGCAATTTATATTTGTGTTGCGTATTTGTTTCAGGTTAGGTTATATTAGTTTGTATATATTGTAATATGTGTTATGTATGTATTAATAATTTTTTCTTGCAATTTTTAGTGTGCTGAATAAGAATCTGTTGCATATAATAAACAAAAATTATAGTTTTTAATTTATATTATCCAAAAATCCTCAAAAACAAAACAAATATGATGAAAAATGAATATATAACGTCAATTTAAACATTTTAAAAGAGGTATATTTGTATGTTTTTAATTATCCCATTCTTACTTTTCCGACAGAATAATTATAAAAGTATATAAAAGCTTCAAATTATTTTGCAACTTTAACTTTTGTACTTTTAAAAAACGTTAAACAAAAAGTCTAAATTTCTTATTTCAATTCTGAAAAATAACAAAGTTTTCCTAAAAATATTCTTTTTAAAAATGAATAATATATTACATTCTAGAATTGTTTTTTTAAATTTCGAAATTATTGCATAAGTTGTATTACCTTTTTTTATAACCTAAAAATTTTAAGATATTTGTACACACATACATAAATACAGTAAAAAACTTATTGCACACCGGAGGCTATTAATATTTCAATTCTTTTTTTAAATTTTAATTTTGCAATTCTTTGAGACATAAAAAAATCCACATAAATATAAATTTACTGATTAGTATAAAGAATTATCTCATATATCTGTCAGATTTTTCCTTTCTTAAAAAAAACAGTGGTGCACTGAACTCGATAAATCTCGAAATAAGGAACTCGAAAAATATCGAAATAAGGAATGAAGAAGCATTGAATGTGAAATCTTAATAGAAAGGCGAATTGTACTATATCAAGATTAGAAATATATAGGTGGAGTTGCAGTCGCTTCTTTCATAAATGAAAAATTAGCGCTATTATTTGAATTTATCAGCTTATTTGTTTTTGAACACGTCAAAATTATTTAGATTAATTGATAGTTTTAAATCAACAGATTGAAATGAAAAATTACTCATTTCAATATAAGTTAATATATTGCGTTTTTGTTCATATTTCATTAAAAAGATAATATCAAAAATATTATTACTCTTCCTATGACAAATGAATTACAAAATAACTCTAATAATTTAAATTTTTTAATTTTTCAAAATAGTAATTTCATTAAATAAAATTTTTTAAATATAAATAAATTAAAATATAATTTTTTCGTTGATTTTGCGTGCGAATAATTATAAATATTAATCATTAATGATTTAATTTCAAAAATATTATTCTTCCAATTCGGACAGAACCCTACCGAAAGAGTGGTACTGGAATGGTACTGAATTGGACTTGGCTTGAGTTCCACTTCAGTACCACTACCTGAAGGAGCTTCTACAATAGCTCCGTTTGGCAACTCCAACCAGTGATGGGTTGTGACGCGTCACACGAAGTTTTGTACGTATAATACGTTTTCGACGTAATATACGTATAAAATGTATAAAACCATGTAGAAAACCACTGACATTTTGACATCTATATATGATCCTCTGATTTTTGCCATTACGAATTTTTCTTATCATTCTATTTAAATTAAAGTCTTAAAATAAAATAGAAATGGTCAGAAAAAGTAAAAGAAAATCTTTTAAAGAGGGTTTGCCCTGGGAAAAAATGGAATTTGAGCGGATAAAAGAGCTAGGCACTGATAAAAATGTTGCTAAATGTTTAATTTGTCAAAACATTATGAAAAACACTGGCTATAAGCGTATTATTATTGTTTGTTATTGTTTATAAAGTTTTTATTTAAAAATTGTTTATTTTGGGAGATACCAAACGACTAGACTGACAATATAATACTTAGAATATAGGTAATGTTATTATGCACGTGGCCCGCGCCCTGCCGGAAGGGTGGTACTGGATTGGTACTGGGAAATTGGAATTGAGATCTCAGTACCAACTCAGTACTAATTTGGTGCATTTTGGTACTGAAATGGAACTGGGAAATTTACCTGCGAAAAGGGTCGAGTTACCGTTAATACCCTCATAAAAGTGAAAAGCGACTAGCTTTTTCAATATGTTTAAACTAAAACTTTATATTTATTTCAATATTATATTTGTTTTTCATGGATTTATATTATTTTCATAAATTATTATGCATATGATATTTCCTTTGTCAGCTAAATTCAAAAATGATGTCCATTTTTTTTATCAAACTTAAGGTATACGAGATAAATTATAACCTTTATAAATGTAATTATTTTTTATGATAAATTTTAGATATTCATAATCTGGAAATATTAACGTCTCTGAATATATATTTTTTAAAGTTGAGTTATTAAAATTACAAATTTTTTAAGCAATAAAACTCGGGTTAAAATTTTAATCCTTCAACAAAGGACCTAGGGGTCTATTGTTCAAGGAGGGATTGCAATATAATTTCCAAACTTAACAGAAATTTTCTACAAACTATTATATTTTTTTTTGCTGTTTTACACGTATATCGTGAGAGACGGTTTGTTGATCTTATATACCTTTAAAACTATTGTTAAAGTACTTTAAAAATGTCTTCTTATGGGTTATCAGGTAGTGGTACTGAAGTGGAACTCAAGCCAAGTCCAATTCAGTACCATTCCAGTACCACTCTTTCGGTAGGGCGGTGTTCACTCTTATCTGTGAAACCAACTTAGAAATAAAACCGATATAAAAACATTTCAATAATTAAAACTTTTGTTTTATAATTGTTAAATTAATTAATAATTACCTAAATTTTGTTTATATTAACAACTTTCTCTTTCAATAGTGTAAAGTAATGAATGATGTATATTAATGAAGAATTTAAAATTGCCGCTCTTAAATCACGTGATCTAATGTAATATACATCGTGTAGAAAACTTGCACGTAGAAAACCACGTATTATACGTCATGTATTATACGTACCCATCACTGACTCCAACTCCAAGTCCAAGTCTGTGACGACTGGGTCTAGTCACTAGTATATTTCTCCTAGGGAATTTTAAAATATAAATGAATATGCCGAGAAATTTATCGAGAAACTTCTCAAGTTCAATTTATTTCAATATAAAATTATTCTAAACATAGTTAAACCATTATTTTTATTAAATAGATTTAATAACCTAAAATATTATAAAATATTTACATATTTTATTGGATAACTATTATATAATAACAATATGCAGCTTTAATTGTTATTTAATTATGTAAATGGTAAAAATTAACATTTTTTTTGGTAAAAATCCAATATGGCTGCGATTTTATTACGCAGTTAGATATTACGTAGTTAGATATTGCGCAGTTGGAAACTGCGCATGACCAAAAGTATTGATTTTCTCGAGTGACCTTGAGCAACCGACGCTCATTGGTCCGTCATGACGTCAGCTGAAATATGATTGGTTGGTCAAATGGGAGGGGGTTACCTCTCCCACTTTTACAGGGTATATAAGGACGGCTTTTAGGCCCGACTTTAGAGAGACTTGTTCGATAATTGAGATTATTCACAATCGCATATCTCGTGACTTCTGATATATAAAATCAGTGTTTGTTTCAGTATTTAATTAAGAATAAATTGACAATTAATTATTATTGAATTTAATAATTTAAGTGTATTATGCAATTTTATTGAAATACTGTAAACGATTTTTAATCGTCCCTTTTAAACAAATTGAACATATA